TGCCCTCCTGCCTTCCTGAAGTCTGCCCCATGGGCAGGCCTGTTCTGCAGTGTTTGGAGACCAAACAGCTTTTCAGGCTATTTCAGAATTGCCTAAACTGTCCTATGCCTAAAATAGTTGGTTGTTTCTGTTTCCTGAGACACAACCCTGACTAACATAAGGGTTCCCGAGCAACTGGAAGATGTGCTTGTGCTGAAGAAAAACATATATTTTATGACAAGTGGAATGAAAATTCTTCAGAACCATCAATATTTCAAGCTTCTTGAAATCTATCTGAACTGTATAAGGAAGAGTGGAAACAGCTAGAACAACTCTGCCAAACCTAAAACATGACAAAGATCTTCAAGAGAGAACAGCACAGGGCCACAGATTGCCTCCCTCTTGCTCAGATATGCAGGTGTAATGACACTTAAAATGCTTTCTAAAATGAATCTAATCTCCCCTGAGCCTTATCTCCATGGGATTAAGGGAGGGCTTGGGCAGAGCAGGCTTACCAAATTAAATGTGCTTATTATTGGAATGTCAGCACCAAGCATACCTCATGGTAGCATCAGCTCATGTTTCAGTTTCTGTCATGCTCCATTAACAGGTGGGTGCACAAGGCTAGGTGGATCCGTTGTGCGAAGTCCTCTGACCTCTTGCTGGTTTTCCACATGAACTAACTTGGCCTTGCCTGGTCCCAGGCCTAGAAGCATAAGAACTCCCTCACTGAGGAAGGGAGTACTGCACTCTTACTAGTAGAGTCTGATTCTAGATCTTGCCTCTGATCACAACCCCTTTCCCAGTAGAGTGGCTTCTTTGTGCTCCCTCTAGGCCTCCATGGTCCTCTGGTCTAAATGCATTTCCTGCTTGACCCAGGTATGTGCAGGACTGCTAGATCCTTGGCATCACACCTGTAGACTGAGGGGCCAGAGTCTGCCCCAGTCTTAGGAATGCACTCACCCTCTGCTGGTGGTCCATGCAGGTACAGGCCAGGCTGTGGAATCCATCTGGATCTGGCTTTTCCTGCCCTTCTAGATAGAGCATAAGGGGATTCTTCTAATTTTCCTGTGAGCACATGGAACCAGCATCCGTGCACATGCTTCAAGCTAGAGGGGAGCCTAGGACTCAGGTCTGTCCTCACCTCCTGGAAGAGGCCATGTCCTCACTTCTTTCTCTCAGGTAAGAGGTCTTTTCTGCATCATAATATCATAATCCCCTCCATGCTGTCCTGAAAAGCCTGGATCCAAGGAATACAGTTAATATAACAATGAGGAAGATTCAAGAATGTCTCTTTTAATGCTAGAAACATCATAAGAATTGCTCCAGTTTTAGTATTTCCCAAACGCCCAGGTGTTAAATGGTCTCCTGTGACAGCATTGGAAAGGAGGGGAACCTATAAGAAGTGGGACCGAGGGGTGGAGTTGTCTGGTCACCAGGGCATGTCTTTGAAGGACACAGTGGAACTCTGATCCCTATTTTCTCCCACTGCTTCCAAGTCACGATGAAGTAAGAAACTTCCATTGACACACATTCCCAGAATAATGTGCTACCTCATCACAAGACCAAATCCAAAGGGGCTGACTGACCATGTACTGGAATCTGGTTTATATTCCAGGTAAACGGGATGGTTGACAAAGAGCCAAAATAAATCTCTCCTCTTTTGAAATTGATGGTTTCAGGTATTTTGTTACAGAAACAAAACACTAGCACAGAACTTACATGAATTACATCCAACATTATTTTGGTTCTCTTCTCCTAACACCGAGGAAGACATCAGGCAGATAAGGTCCTGACATTCATTCCCATTTCTTCTTTAAAATGATATATAATGAATGAAAGACCCATCAGTTGTCAAAGCCTTTGCCTTGCAGAGTAAAGACATCCTCTTAGTCTTTAGAATACCACAGAAAGGTCTGGAAGTCTCTGCCCAACATTTGCCAGCAATGGAGGGCAAAGCTTTCCTTGGAAGGAAGCAGTGGATATATGAACTCTTCCCAGAAAGAGGATTTACACTATCAAGAAATGTGAATTTGCCTGTGGGGTTGGGGGAAGATGTGTTAAGGGGCAGGGGACAGTAGAACACACATGATATGAAAATAGGAGGATACTGGGGATTAAAGGTTCAAGCAGGGATTGGGGAAGGGAGACAAGGAAGAGGAGTGGGTTGTATAAAAAAAACCTTATGGAAACCCACTAATTTGTAAACTAGTTAAAAAATAAAATGTAAAAACAGGAGTTTGAACACAGGTATTTTGATGGGTGAACCATGCATCCCCCAGAAGACATGGGTTATTAAATGATGATCTCAGTGTCAGGTATGGGATATTGTGCTATGAGTTATTGGCCAGGTAGTCCCCAGAGGCCCAAACAATGCAGGCTCTATTGCCATTGATCGTGGTTGTTCACCAGAACTAGATCAGAGACTCTATTGCTGAAGACACAACACATTTTCATTTTAAGACATAGAGACATAGAGAGATCAAGCTAGAATTGGCTTGAAATCTTCTTCCCTGACGGCTAGCTTTCATAATCCTATAAGGGGCTGCTGGGAGAGAAAAGTTATCCGTGATATTTCCTAGTGACTACCTCTACATGCCACAATACCAACCTGCTAGGGGAAGATGTGCCCACTGGTGCAACAGTGGCACAAAGGTTATGGGGACAACCAGCTGCTTTTGGCCTGTCTTTGAGGCCTGCTCCTCAGGAGGGAATTCCTGACTTATACTATAACCTTGGTCAAAAACTCATGGCTCAGGAAGTCATAGACCCTGGCAGGTGGCGGGGGGGGGGTGGTCAAGGGGGAGGAACGGGACTTACTACTGTTGTTTTGCTAAATGGACATGTTGTTAATTTGACTTCTAAATATTTATGTTGATACACAAAGATTAGTGCTGCGCTCAACTTTGACCAAGAGAGTCTTCTTTCTACGTGGTCAGCAGTTAATGCAGAGACTCATAACTGGTCAAAGTGCTAAGAATAAATGACTATTAATAAGTGCTCACACCTAACTAGGACATCTGCATTAACCCTTCCCACAAGGCTCAGGGAATACCACAGAAGAGGGAATAGAAAGAATATAAGAGCCAGAGGATGGAGAGGAATGCCATGAGGTGTCTTTTGGACATGGAAAGGCCATTGCACTTGTGAACTCACAGCAAGCCAAGAAGATCAGTCAACATTCCAACAGGTATCACTACTTATACTCACTGTGCTCCCCCATCCCACCAAAAAAAGGAGAGGACGCGAAATGAGAAGGGACATGAATGTTTCAGGAATGCCTGCAGGGAGTGGAAGAGGAAACTGGGGTTGTGTATGATCAAGGTACATTTTTTACAAGTATGATGTTGTCAAAGATTAAAGAAAATATATTAAATATTTATTAAAATGAAGTATGAATTTGCTAAGACCAGCATCTCTTTCCCCTTAATAGAACATGCTTTGGGGTATAAAATTCCAGATAATTGAATCATTACTAGTAGATGTTTTGAGGCTTCTATAGACGATGTGGGCACTCCACTGTTTAGAAAACTGTCTTAATTCCAATTGTTGAATGGTACGGTGAAAGAAACACGAGACTATATACAAAGTATATGTCAAAATTTCAAAATTCCACGTTCATATATAGTACTCATGGGACTGGATGTACTATGCAGAATGAGTACAGAAAAATAAGCAAGTCATCTCAAACTGATAAAAGAGATCTTTCGGGAAAAAAGGTATTTGTACACGTTTTGTGTGTGTGTGTGTGTGTGTGTGTGTGTGTGTGTGTATGTGTGTCTTTTATATGGAATCTAGGGTCTTATGCATGTTAGGCAAGCTAAACTACTGAGCTACACCCCTAGCCCTGTGGAAAGGTATTTGGATTGTGATTTTACATAGTGTGGTAGCCATGGCTGACTGAATGGGGACTAGCCAGGGGGAAGCTGTTCTTTAGACAAAGGATCAGAGGACGGTAAGAGTGCAGGTGGGGCTCATGGAGATTAGGGAAGAGACTTTCTGCAGGAGCCTCATGTTTGCTATCATGCAGTGCTTTCTGAAGAAGCTAGCATGGTCATAAGGAGATGCTTAGGAGATGGTTACAGTGAGTGCTATGACTTGGATATGGTTTGTTTCCCAAACATTCATGTACAGGAATGATTCAAGTAATGATGTACTTGATTCAAGTACAGGAATGTTGAGAGGTGGGGTCTGAAGGGAGTTGGTTAGGTCATTGCAGGCTCTACCTCCAGAAGGGATTAAGGTAGTTTTCACAGGACCCTAAGTCAGTTCTTGTGAGGAAAGCAAGTGCAAATCCTCTCCTTGCTTCCTTCCTGTCTCATCATGTGATTTCTCTGTCTTGTTTGTGCTTTTGTCACTTTGGGGCCTCATACCCATTTGCTGTGAAGCATTCACTTGAGCCACATTCATTTCTGGTTCTTCCTAGATGCCTGCCTCACAGTCCTGAAACCTCCAGAACTTTGAGTTAAATACATCTCAGGTTTTTTGTAAAGTACCCAGCCTCAGTTGTTTTCTTATGGTAACAGAAAAAGGGGCTAACATAAGGAATGAATCATATAGAGAAATCTGGAGCTAGAGATACCTGAAGAAAAATTATAAGAAAGTTAGTTTATATTCCCTGCCTATGTAGAGTATTTGGCAAAAAGCAGAGTCCAATGCAGTAGTGGAGAGTGTAGGCTTTGAAACCTGACCCCCATCCTGGCTACCCAACTTCTCTAAAGCTCAATTTTCCCATTTGTAAAGTGCTGATCATAATGGTTCTTACCTCAGTGGTCGGCTGTCCTTGAGGAAATAATGCCTGTGTGTTCATCCTCCACAGCCTCACACAGCACAGCCACCAGCACTGAAGCTGCCAGGAAGCCCTCAAATGTCACTGCTGGGAGTGCTGACTGGGAAAATCAGCTGGGAAGTGCTGCCTGAGTATATGTGGTTACCACATTGTGTTGTTAGTTTGGATCTAGTAGAAAAGGTCAGGAGGCAGGGAGCACAGCCTTCGCTGTGAGGCAGGCATCTAGGAAGAACCAGAAATGAATGTAGACGAGAAACTGGAAATGGAGACTGTTCAAGGAAGAGCCCCTGAGGAACCAGACATGAAACTGAACAGTCAAGAAAGAACAAATGAAGGTGACACTAATGGCAAAGGGAGTGGTGGGAAGAAGCAGGTTGCCTTGGGGACCTCTGCATTTCGGGAGCAGATGACAGTATTAAGCCAAAAAGAGAAAGTTGTCATTAAAGCAAGACATATACATAAAAGATGCCATGCAACCACAGGCTGCTTGACTTTTGGGTGAATGAAGTTCAGCTTTGTACATCAATCATCAGACTTAATTCGTTATCTCTAAGAATAATAGTCTTCAGCATAGATAAGCAAATATTGCTACTCCTTCATGCATTTTTATTTGACTTATTTGTTGTTTTTCAGAAAATCTATTACAGGTTCTATCCAGAAATGAGGCTTTTCTGGTCCCAGAGATCTTGGACACAGCCCAGGCCAAAGAGAAGATTGTTGTCCCCATGGTTAGCAACATACTCCATGTGTCCACAGGGGAGCTTGAGGTCCTACAGCAAGGCAGTGACCCCTCCAAGTTCTCAGAAAACACCATCCATCGCAAACTTGGAGACAGCCCCAAGTCCTCAGCAAAAACTATTCAGTTGAAACAGGGTAACATCTCCAAGACCACAGCAAAAACTACCAATCCCAAACAGGCGAACATTTCTAAAACCACAGGCCACCCCATACAGACCAAGCACAGCAACATTCCCAAGTCTTTGGCAAAAAACGCCCATCCTAAACAGGAAAACATCTACAAGTCTCCAGCAAACACCATCCATCACAAGGAGGCCAGTATGCCCAAGTCTTCAGAGGATACTGTCCAGGCAAAGGAGAATGATACCTCTGAATTCTCAGAGGACACCAACCAGTACAAGGTGGGTAATACCCGCAAGCCCTCTAAAGACACCAAACGGTCCAAGAAAGGTGACACCCACAGGTCCTCAAAAGACACCACCAAGTCCCAGGAGGAAGAAATCACCAAGCCTCAGGAAGGAGAAATCACCAAATCCCCAGAAGACACCACCCAGTCCCAGGAGGGCAATGTTATCAAGTCTTCAGAAGCTACCATTCAACCTATGGAGGGCAACCTCCCTAAGTCCTCAAAGGAAATCATTCAGCCCAAGAAAAGCAACACCTCACAGCCTGAAGAAAAAACAGAGTCCCTGGAGCTAGACATGGTGAAAGTGATCACGGGCAAGGAGGACTTTGAGAAGATGCTTAAGGAGGCTGGGGAGCGGCTGGTAGCTGTGGACTTCTCAGCCACTTGGTGTAGCCCTTGCAGAATCATCAAGCCAATCTTCCATTCCCTGTCTCTGAAGCATGAGGATGTAGTATTCCTGGAAGTGGATGCCGACACCTGTGAAGAGCTGGTACAAGACTGTAATGTCTTTTGTCTCCCAACTTTTCAGTTTTATAAAAAAGAAGAAAAGGTGGGTGAATTTTCTGGTGCCGTTGTGGAAAAACTTGTATCAAGCATTGAAGAATTAAAGTAATCATATATTCTAAGAGCATTGTCAATCAGTTTATAGCTAATTACTTTTCTAATCTGCAAAAAAGATCAGGCAAGACAAACATGCATATCCAAGTGACTCTGCTTGTAAATCAGAAATATGCAACCCACACTTTTGAAAACACAGCATCAAAACATGGCAGGAGAGGGTCAAATTAAAAATTCCTTGGCAACAAATTGTTGGAATGAGCCACACATCTTTGCTCTCCTCTTGTACTGGGAGAGCTGCAAGGCACATGAAGACTAAGGCTTTTCCAGATTACAGAGATCTTTTTACTAATCAAGATCCAAGACAGAACTCAAAGCCAGGCTTCTCAGAGGCTTCAGCCTGAGTGATCCTTGGTGCCACTATGACATCAGTGCTCTGATGGCAAAGTACTTGCTTTGTCACTTGGTAACTGGATTCCTGATTCCTTCTCCCAGGTGTCTCCAAGACTGAAGACCCAGGTCTGGACTGGGTGGTGACTTGGTTCAGAGGGTTTATTATCTTTTAAATGGCTTGTGGAGGTTTAGTGGATATATAGAGAGCTATATCCCTATTTAATGTGGACAACTGGGTGAATTTGGCCTACACTTGTTTGTGATATTCATCACCTTCCAGAAATTTCTTTGTGTCCCTTTGCTTTAATTATTTTTATTGTTGCTGTTGGTGGTGGTGTAATAACATTTAACATGAGGCCTACCCTCAATGAATTTTAAGTGACCAATGCCATATTATTAACTTTAGGTACTAGGTTATGTAGTATAGTTCTAGAACTTACTCTGGATAACTGAATTTTTTTTTTCTCCTTGAACAACTCCATTTCCCTTGTGCTGCTCTGGCAATCACTGTTCTGTTCTCTATTGCTCTAAAGTATTTTTTAAATATTAATTTTTAGGCTGGGCATGGTGGCCCATGCCTTTAATTCCAGTACTTAGGAGACAGAGGGAGGCAGATCTCTGTGAGATCAAGGCTAGCCTTACCTACATAGCAGATTCCAGGCCAGTTAGGGCTATAAAGAGACCCTGTCTCCAAACAAACAAATAAAATCAACAACAAAAAGAAATTCTTGGTCAATGTTTTAAAAATGGCATTCCCTTTAAAAAAAAAAAATCTAAAGTTTGAATTAATTCAAGAAACCAATTCAATCCTAGGGGCTAATTAGCAGATCTCTCCCTCCAGTCTTCTGCCCCAGACCCTTGATTGGCAATCTCCCTGTAAGTCTGAGAGTACAACAGCCCCACCACCTCCTACTGTGCACCTTAAACCACCTTAGAGACACGTCTGTCACAGGTACCACTGACAGCCACCTGACAGCTACAAACAAAATTCCCTAAGTACGTGGCCTTCTTTCCAAAAGTGATTCAGAGTGACCTACAAAAAGCACGAATGACAAGACCAGAAACAAGGAAGAGGAATTAGAAACACAAAGGGACTACTGTGTCAGCTCTGAGGACATGAATGATTGCTCTGCTTGGGTGGCAAATTCTGTTCTGAGCATCTTGATCATTGGGAGAAAAAAAGGAAATTCACTAATACCGAGGTGCTACCACCTGAAATAAGAATGCTTTGGTGTGTGAGGAAGGAACTAATGTTTTGTCTTAACCAAATCACTTAATGAAATTTCTCATCTGGGAATCTAAGGTTAAGACTCAGAACAATAAATGATGTTTTTGGTGAGGTTTTTTTTTTTCCTTAATAAATTCAGAAGTTTTCATGCAGTTATTTCTGGTAAACTTCAGTAAAACGGCTACGGTGGCAAAACACTTTTCAGTGAGAAGATTGTAGCATCACATCACTCAAATATGCATCCTTTTCATTTTTACAAAAATGGACTTCTACTGGTAGTGACTATATCCCCTCTTTTTTCTTTTGGTGAAAGGAACTTCTATCTTTTCCATTTCCAATTTGTTTGAATCATCCCTTGAACAAGACTAGTGTTTATTATAACTATCAAATCAGACATATTTGCCCAGAACTTAATGACCCAAGTTAACCCAACCTCTGTGCTACTAGAGTCCTGCCTAGATAGTTCCATGAGCCCTACAACCCTTTAAACTGCAATTTAAAGGACATTAGTGACAGACACCAACCAATTATTTTTACTGGGACTGCAGTAGCAAAGACATTTCTGAAATTAGTATTTATAGATTTAGGTTACTATTATGGTTTGAATGGAAAAATGTCCCCTGAAGGCTCATGTGTTGAAGGCTTAGTCCTCAGCTTCTGGTGGTGGAAATGTGAGGAGGTGGGACCTATTTGAAGTAGGTCACTGAGGCATGCTCTGGAAAGGCAGCATGTCCCTGACCCCTTCCTGTCTGTCAGTCTCTGCTTCCTGTCTGCCATGAGGTGAGCTGCTTTGCTCCACTGCATGTGTCCCACCATGATGTTCAGCTTTGCCTCAGGCTCATAGAATAGGCTTAGTTTCAAAATAGTTGTTGTATTGTCCTAGATGATAACTTGAAAAATACCCTTAATAACAAGGATTTTTTTTTTTTTCACCATATGTGCACCATATGTGTGCCTGGCGGCTGTGAAGAGGGTGTCAGTTCTCCTGGAACCAGAGTTAAGGATCAGCATTAGCTGCCATGTGGGTGTTGGGAACTGAATTTGAGTCCTCTACTAGGGCAACCAGTGCTCTTAACTGCTGAACTATCTCTCCAGCCCCCACATTTTAAAACCTTGATTTTAAAAATGATGTGGAAATTTCTTAGGTCATTTGGAGGTGTGACCTTGAAGGGAGTAGAGGGACCCTGGTTCATCCTCTTCGCTGGCTGCCTTGAGGGGACAGATGACTGCCATGAACTACTGCTTAATGTGTCCCAAAAGCAGTGGGACAGGTGACCATGGCCAAATCCTCTGACATTGTGAACCAGAAGAAAACTTTCTCTTTATTTATTTATCTTTTTTTTATGTTTATGAGTGTTACGCCTACGTATGTGTAAATGCACCTGTATCATGCAATGCCCACATAGTTTAGAAGAGGGCATTGGATCTCCCTGAAACTGGAGCTATAGATGGCCGTTAGCTGCCACTTGGGTGCTGGGATTCAAACTCAGGTCTTCCGCAAGAAGAGCTGGTGCTCTTAACCGCCAAACCATCCCTCCAGTCCTGAAATCTTCCTCTTTATAAATTGATTGTCTTGGGTATTTTCTCACAGCAAGTGAAGCTGACTAACACATCCAGAATTGGTAACTTTCTCAACTCCTCCATTTGGAATACCATGACCAGGAAGAAATGCTACATAGCACATGGGAGTCTCTGTAGTCCAAGTTCCATACAAAAGACCCGAATTTGGTTGGATCCAGTGTCTATCAGAGATTTCTTCACTAGTATGAACTTCGGATCTGTCTTGCATGTTTCTGGTAATCCCAAACATGGTGGCTGGAGAAACAGAATTACTTCTCTGTGACTGAGCTGCCCAGCCCCATGGAGAGCTTCCCCCAGCAGGTTTCTTCACAGTCTTGAGACTTCTGATTTTCCTGTAAAGTTAGTATGTCACATTATCAATTCCAAGCAAGAGTGCACAACTTCATACACAGAGAAGCCAAAATCATGGCACTGATTTCTGTAAAAAGAACTTTATTAAAGGTCAGATGGGTTGGCAAGATGGCCCAGTGGGTAAAAGTTCATGTTGTGTAAACCTGAAGACCTTAGTTTGAACCCATGGTAGAAGGAGAGAGCTTTTGGATTCTGAAATTTTTACTTGACTAACACACATGTACCATGGCATGTGCATACCCCCTCAATACATGCATCATACATACACCATACATGCATACATACTAATAATAAATAAAAATTTTGAAAGCCAACCAGCAAGCGAAGAGGCATATTCAAATCTCATTGGTAGGCCAGAGGTGGTTTGTTTGTTTTTGTTTTTGTCTTTGTTTTTGTTTTTCTTTCAGGAATTTAAGGGTCTGATAATGGCTTGAGATTTGATTAGAAACATTTTCATCTTTCCAATTTTATTCTTATGTTAAAATCTTATCATCAGAACCCCTCTCTTTTTTTTTAAACAGCGTCTCCCTATATAGCCCAGGATAGCCTCAAACTTGCTATGGATCCCAGACTGGTCTCAAATTGGAGATCCTCTTGCCTCAGGCACCCCAGTGCTGAGATTACAGCCCTGTGCCAGTAGGGCAGCAACCCTTCGACCTCTTGACCATAGTCCTTAGCTTCCTGCCCTGAACCTAAATTGGTCTTGAGATCAATCTACCTTGCTTGGATAATTCAAATTTTAAGATGCCTTACAGGATTGCCTGTTTTGAAAAACATCTTACACAGTAGTTAAAAATGAAGACATGATTTTAAAATGCCTGGCAGTATGGGAAAGAGTTCATTCTGATAAGGTGTTTTAGGAGACAAAAGAAGGGGCTCAATAGAAGGAAAAGGACAAGAGGTCAGTTAGTGGCAAGGAGACCAAGCCAGCTGTGTTGTGGGCTGGTGATGATCACAGCCAGGATTCTGGCTTCCTGTGGAGTCTTGCAGACTGAGGTTGCATTCTTTTGATGACAGCACTTGTCTTGTTCTTTGATGATAACACTCTTGGGAATGCCTCTGGGTCTGCTGAGAGACTTCTGGGCTTCAAGAGACACATACCTACAGTTGTCAGCAGGATGCTGTGGCTTATCAAGCAGGGGCATCCTCACTTCATTCCCTTCTTAATGTGTCCCAGCAGGTCACCAGGATAAAAACTGTGGGCCCATACAGTCATGTTTATACTGAATTCTAGTGGATGGTGCTGGACCAGACAATGTGGGAGCCTGGTTATCTGCCACTTATGAATCTGGTCAGAGATCTGAAGCTCATTTGCACAGAGGGTCTTCCTCCCTGGTGATGGTGACAGGTGGCATCTGGAAGAGGAGGATTTGCTCTCCCCAGACTTAGAGAAACAAAGTCAGGTGTGTTGGCATAGGCTTGTAGCCCCAGAGCTTGGGAGGCTAAGACAAGAGGATCTTTAGGATCTTTCCAAGGCTAAATTATCCTGGGTTATAGGGCTA